TTGGGCCTAATTGAACGGAGGAATTATGGTGTTCTTCTGTAGCCTGACGACGAGTAACTTTAACTGTTGTTCATGTGAACTCAAAGACAGCTTGATGCTTTGTTTATAGACTATTTGTGGGTGGCTGTTTGTTGTTTCACCTATCAATTCGTGTCGATAAAGTATAATAGGGTAAATCCTGTATAGTGATTTATCCTATATAGTGCTTGCATAAAGCAAGTAGTGCATACACTTGTAGCTGTTATGTATCTTTGTAAGTCATTGTAAGCCCTCTTTTGAGGCACGCGAATGACCCCCCCCCCCGTTATAAAAAAAAAACAAGTGGGCTCCCCCAAAGTCCACGGTATAGTTCGAACATTGCTAATGTTATACCAAACCTGTATGATTTTCTATGTTCTGTGGAACACAAAATAAGTTTTTGTTCATGTATTAAAATTCAGTGGGGTCCAAAGCAACATTGCTTTTCAAAAATCATTTTCCAAATATCTTCTTTTGTGTTCTCCAGAATAAATAAAGTCAGGCAGGTGTGGAACAACATGACGGTGAGTAAATTATGACAGAATTTTCATTTTTGGGTGAATTAAGCCTTTACCCACTGTTGTCTATTGAATGATAGATCTCAGATAGAAATTGCCACTCATATATGCACACAAATGCATTACGTTTTTCATATATATACAGTATATTTTGTTTTGAAATCTATACACATTAATTAGATTCGATATAAACATTACATACACAAACTATCACACACAATCTGTCCACCTCAAGCCTTCTGTTGTCAGGGATGGCCCATTGCCCCATAGTGCCTGCGCCATGCCAGCATGCCGTGAACTAGTTCCTATTTATAGACGGCATGGTAGTAAGCAATCCATCGAACAATTCCATTGCATCATTCTTTTTCCATGACATCACCATGAACCATGCAGTAATCAAGAAAAAAATCCATCAAAAACAAGAGGTCCACATCATGAATGTAACTTCCTCATTCATTGATCCTCAAAACACAACCTTACATGCATGCCTCTCAAAACACAAATAGGTCTTGACAGATGCATGTGATGCAGATGCAAGTGTTTGTTAAAACATTACGTTACAGTGGTAATGACACTGAACGGGACAGACCCGTTCATGCATGTGAGGTATTGCATGTGTAAAAACTCTCACCACTTTTGCACACAGGACAGCAATGGCTGGGTTCGTATACAGGATTCACACAATGTAATGCAGGGCAGCCGGATATGGTGCAGTAAACTTCTCTGTTGACTTCACACCGGCAACGCTCACAGGGTGACAACTGTTTAAAACAGGAACAAAGAATCACTCTGGATTATACAATTTATTATTGACATATTGATGATTGATAGGCCAGGGAAAACCCCCATACTATCAGATAACAGGCAATTGCACCCAAATTAACTACTCTGAATGGATTAATCTAAAATAATTTCTTCATACATAAATATTTTCTCAGTTGTGTACAGAGAAAAAGCTTCAAAACTATCACTGGGGCAGTATCCTTTCAAAAGGTACTAATATGTACTTTTAAAGTACTAATATGTTACTAATTTAGTACTAATTTAGGGGTAAATAATATGTACCTTTTAGATTTTTTAAAATTAGAGTATTGCACCAGTGTCTGAGAGCCTGTTTTGTTCCATACTCTAGAATATGTATTGTAAAAGTTTCTGATAAATGTACGTTTTTTTTATCCCACAAACATTAGTTCATTGACTAGAGTTAAACAAAACACAGATATTAGATAATTATCATGCCATTTTTATGATGTCCCAAATTTGAAACCTTTCATTTCCTGAAAAGTGAGCAGTGTTGTGAAACGAAACAAAACAATGCAAAAGGTCATCATTACATATTAGAATCTCTGCATTGTTGTAATAAACCTTAGAACGTTAGTGAAAAACAAATCAAAACGAAACATTATTATCATCATCACTACAATATCCATCCAGACCAAAATATATTATTTTCTAGCCTAAGAACTTCCGCAGACTCACCCTAAATTCTTCAAGCATTCTGTACGTTTTGCCCCCGTACACGCAAACTTTACTGACCGCTTCACACACGGGACAGCAGGACTTGTATGTGATGCGAGTGCATCTCGGGTGTATACGCGGGCACTTGGGTCTGACACACACGGGTCCATCCTCTGTGCAGGTGCAGGGACACGCTGTAGAGCTCGGATAATAAACCTCTCCGATGCTATAAACAAAACCTTGATCGTCGATACAGAACTTGCCACGATAGTCACCGAATTCGTATTCCAGCTCGGATTTTGAAGAATACTCTGATGCGCTTTGCAGAACGAAGCACTGGAGTGCAAATGAGATACAAAGGACGAGAGATCGCATCCTTACCGGCAGTTTGTTGTGGTCTGGATTGTCATCATGCGCGTGGGGCAGTGCATAAACATATGCCCATATTGCCCAATGACATACACGAGAGAAAATGACCCTCCTCTGAATGTCACCATCAGTAGGCTACTGTACACACAATCTTGCAGGCAACTGTATTATGTTAATGACTTTAATAAGAAAACGTTTTCTTCACATTTACTTTTTACATTAGGAATAGCACGTGCTTGTGTTACACTTTTAGAATAATTCTAATCTTTTAAAATATTTTTAACGTTTTCAAAACTATTCCTAATGACTTTTCCCTTAAAATAATATGGAAGTGGTGCATGGATGCACACTGGCCTGGGATACATGCATCGTACGTGTAGAGCTGCACAGAAACGTGCAGATCTACCAGTGAAGATTGTTTTTATCATCAAATTAGACAACTTTTACTCCTTTTTCGCCATCTGCTGGTCAAATGACTGAAATGCAGCACAGTTGAAGGATCCTAATGATCCAATCTCCTTATCTGTACATTTTATGTAGCTTTGGCATGCTTGTCTTTTAAGACATGTAAAATAAACAAACTGTCCAAGACTTGGAACCACACAATTTAGTGATCTATACCTGAAATTACATTGATTCTGAGAGCTACTGACTTCTGAAATTAATCTAATTATTTTAAAATGTAGCCAGTTTAAGACCTATCTAACAAACATTCTTGCTTGGCTCATAGGGAAAAGACTTGGCTAAATGATAAGTTCGGGGCTCCATCAAAAAGTTGCACTGTAACGGCTAATAACCATGCGAACAGAGCACTTTTTACTATTTGTGTCAGACATGGCATTGTTCTGTCCATTGTTCTGCTTGGTCGCCTGCTGTTTTTTTTCAGAATCAGAATCAGAATGAGCTTTATTGCCAGGTATGTTTACACATACGACTTTAACACAGTTACATCTGTACACCACCTCTCATTGATGTAAAAGCATGTCCCGCCGCCGCGCGATTTCCCAGTTGATTCTGCGTCGCGATCCGCTCTGAACTATGGGAAGCCAAACCACCCAAAAGTGGGATGAAACAGCGCGGTATTAAAGTGTTCGTGCCGCACTGACCTGTCATCGGTGCGGCTCAATGGACCGAGCTGCGCGACCGACTCGACAGCGCAAAGAGGACGTGTTTACTAGCGCCACCGAACTGACAGCGCAGCGCGAACATTACTCTCAGCAGAAGTTTGTGTTTTTTTCCTGCACATAACATAATGAAGATCAGTATTAAGTTATTACATTTCTTTTGCTTACCTTTCTACTACATGTAAACAGTTGTACTTTGAAAAACTGCAAATATGAAATATATTTTAATAAATTTACAATACCATAGTCCTCTTGAGGAGCACACCCAGCTTCTAGTATATATATTTTTTTATTTTGTACTTAGTTATTATTGTTGGTGTCGTCAAGTTCTACATTCAGCAAAATATTGCCCATTTTAAATTTTAACTACTATTAAATAGCCTAGTATATATATGGGATTTTTGTTGTCTCTAGTAAAGGGAACGTTGTTATTTAACTTTAACATTGCAATTTTATATAATGGATACGGTTTGTAAGGCTTTTCTCTACACTCCAAATTAAATAAATAAATACATTTTAATGAATAAAAAAACTCTTTAAAAATTAGGGACAGTGTATGTAAATTCAGTATGATGTATTTTGAATTTTGCACTACATTGTGTTTTAGGTTTATCGGAAAACACATTAAAATTAACCATGATTTTATGACACTGGGTTAAAAAATGACAATCAATCCATGGTTACTGCACTTTTACTATAGTAAAACCATTGTTAATTTCCGTATTTCCATAAGGGAAAATTTATGTCCTGACAGAAAAGTATCAGTACATTTTACTCTTTTTTTCAAGTATAATCAAATGCTACAGTTACACAAATATCCTTAAATGTAAAATTTACTTGCCTTGATGAACGAAACCATAAAACATTTTAATGAGCACGCCACGGAGGCAGCCATCAGCGTCGGCGCCATCGCGATAAATGTGGTGGTTTATGGTGGTTTTTTGAGAACCACCATAAATTCTCACTGAGGGGTTGGTGAGTTTATGAAAAGCATAATTACAGTAAAAGTAAAATTAATAAATAATTTATTAAAATAAAAACAATTTAAAAAAACACTTCCTAAGACTAACACTTATTACTAACTTTAAATCTTAGGGGGTACTTCAAGTAAATATTTTAGCTTAAAGGAGTTCAGCTGAACCCTCCCGATTACAGTCCAATTGCTACTACTTCTTGACTTTAAATTCAGGCTCAATAAATTTGTACATTTTTGCTTTTGTTCCATTGACTTGTGTCACATTTCTGCCCAAATGCAGCCAAGATCTAATCATTTAACATGTTGCCTTTATAGTTCCAGAAACCTTAAATGCTGTCAGCTTTATCCAAAGTGATTTTAATGATCTTGCCAGTATTTTAGCACAAATACAATACTTATACAATACAATACTTACATCATATTAGGCCTACTTATATCAGATGAACAAATTAGAATTAAATACCATCTGAAAGGGGTGAAATAACATCTAGTTACCCGGCTTTCGTTTCTACAAATTTAGCATCATTCAGATTCTTGCTGATGTTATAAAATGATTATATGCTGATTAGTAATTTAGTTCAATTAGATTACACAAGCAAGATAATCTGGTGACTCTTCTTCTTCTTCTTCTTTTCTTTTTAATGGCGGTTGGCAAACCCACTTAAAAGGTGCATTTCCGCCACCTACTGGACTGGAGTGTGGAGCATGACGTATATTGGTGACAACATATAGAAAAGAAAAAAAAAATCAAATAACCATTAGTTTGACCAAAGGAGTATTACACAAGGATACAATTATTTTATATCCACTTCTAATCCTATTTTACAACAAATTGGGAAGTGATCACTTCCTATAGTACTGTGTTCCAACACTTCCCATGTGCATTTCCTAGCCAATTCATCTGAAACTAGAGTTAAATCTATCGCAGAGTAGTGACCGCGGGCAACATCAAACCTTGTTGCTTTACCATTATTCAACACACTAACCTGCTCCACTCCAGCATATCTTCTATAATATTTCCATTTCGATCATTCTTTACACTACCCCATATCGTACTGTGGGCATTAAAGTCCCCACACCACACTAATTTGTGACTACCTGTTCCTCGAATTATCTCTAGTGTTTCTCTACTCAACCTGTTGCATGGATTGCAATAATTAATTATTCTTATATTTTGTGTTCTATTCCAAACATCTATAACCACTGATTCATGCCACTTATTCATTTCTATTACCCTAAACCCTATTCCTTGTCTTATAAAAGTTGCTACCCCACCTCCAATTCCATCATTTCTATCCCTGCGTATTACATTATATTCCTGTAATGTGAACTTTAATTGTGGCTTTAGCCAAGATTCTTGTATACACACAACACTAGGTTTATTTTCTAATTCATCAATGTATCTTTTAAATTCTTGCCCATTAGCTAATAAACTTCTCGCATTCCATTGTATAATTGTCAGCAACATTAAGATCCACCACATGCTTGCGTGATTGCAGTTTGTACTTTGATCTTTTCACTAATCTCATCTATTGTAATTCGCTCAATATCCAAGTATTTTCCAGCTGCCCTAATTATGATCCTTATCCTTTCCGTTCTGCTCTCTGATTGTGCTGAACAGTTTATTACTTCTGCCATAAATGCAACAAATTTGACTTTATCCGCTATTATATGCTTCTCATTAATTCTGCATTCCTCCAAGCACTTAAATCTGGTGACTCGATGTTTAATATTAGGTATAATATTCTCGTTACACGTTTTGTTGTAGCACGTGGTTTCAGAGTAGACGGCCAACTAAATGTCGTTTGTTCTTTTCGCGCGTGCTGCACTGAGTCTGACTCTTATTTTTACAATTATTATTTTTTTTATTATTATTATTTTGTTCTGTCAAAAACGAACTTTACAACTACATATTGCATCATTTGTAATGTAATTATATTTTATTAGTAAAGACATGCACCTCCCGTGAACTTTCATTGGATGATAACACACGTGATTTGGGTTCTGGACAAAATAATTGGCCAGGATGGCTCATGAATAATTCATAAGGAGAAGAAAAAGACACGACTCATTTTTTTTTAAAACAATTTTAAATTTAAACACTTGCACTTAACTAGTAAGGGATTGTCAGATTGTAGTGTACTTTATTAGCAGTTTATCATGTTGTTGTGAAACCGGTCATATGTAGCGATACTTGTTTATCTCTTCTCGACGCAGCAGGGTAGCCTAGTGGGGAGCGGCGTTGCAGTCTGAATGTGTTTGTGCTGTATCATCTTACAGTTGTTCCCCCCAAATCCGCATCGTTTTAAAGTTGTTTTAGTTTGATTTTAAAAACTGCTGCCCTAGAGATGGCATCGGCAACGACGACTGATCCGGGTTTTAATCCCGGAGCCATAGGGTTACCAGAGTCTGTAGTCCCCGCTAGCATGTTTGCTCCAGCCCGGGGATGCGGCGATAATGACGGGGCAGAGTGCTTCGAGGACGGGGAGATGTTCAACGGCGAGACCGTGGATCTCGGCATAGACTTCTCCAGCAAGGTAGGCCTCAAACAGAGTTAGCCTAGTTGTAGTAAATTAATGCGTTTACAAAAATTATATTATTAGTAACATGACTACACGTTGGAATTTTGAACTGACAGTTTTAATAAGGTTATCTGATTTTCATTACTGTTTGAGATTTTCACAGTTTTACGAGTTTACCACTGAGTGTTTACAACTGTAAACCTAACCTAAGCTAACCCGGCTATGTTCAGCGATATTTTAAACATATTTCCTAATCTCTGTATCATATGCACCTGTCGTAGTACAGTACAAAAATGTCTTTCTGATTTATCCATCTATGTGGGGTTTTATCTGTAAAGCAAGCTGATTATAGACCGCAACTCTGCATTAATTCCAATGAATGAAATACGGACATTATACGGACGGTTAGTGAAGATATGACAACCTCACAACACAATATCAGCCCAACACAGAGGGATTTCCCTTTAGAAGGAGGGAGACAGAGGAGATAAATAGATCAGGGAATGAGGAAGTCTATTTTATAAAGTGATAACTGACATAAAATATCATATATATCAGATAGTTGCCAAGGCATCATTTCTCATTTTCATTTGGTTTAACTTGATGTACTAAAATATCTAAGTTAAATGAGAAAAAAAAAAAAAAAAAACTAAATAGACATTAAAAACTAATAAAAGACCAGTACAAATGACAAAAACATACAACAAAATTACTAATAATGTATCTACAATGGAAAATATTAAAATTACCTCAAAGTACAAATACAAATTATAATAGTATCGCTTTGTTACTTAAATTATTTTAATGTTTCTATTATTATTTTTAAATACTAGTAAGTAATACAATTGTAACTAGCATTCATTTCAATATCACTAGAAGCTACTTATTATATACAAGTAACTACTACATAATTACAGGTTATAAACGACAAATTTAGGTTCTGTATTTCACATATCCACCATTTATTCCAAATAGTATGAATTTGATTGTTTTTGGCACCTATTTCAGTTTTACTAATATCTAGTTCTGGTTCTTTTTCTTAGTTACAAGCAACTATTAAAATAGTTCAACAGCATTTATTACAGTTTCCCTTGTTTTAGACACTAGCGTGCATTCCAGTTCATACTAGAAGAAGTTTTAATCTTTCTAGTAATTGAACTCTGATGTCTCAGTCTGAACTCTTCTGACTAATCATGACACATGACATAAGATTAGTGTGATGTGTTACCATACAATATAGTTGTATGTATGTGTTTGTGTGTATTAAAAATTATAGGCATGGTTACTAATTGCTAAGAAATAAGTACTAATGCCTAATGCCTAATAGGTAATACAGAAGTACAAATATTCCATGTAGTCTTTCAATTATTATGAGGTACTATAAGTACATGCGTTATAATTAAACAAGAATAAAAAAATTTTTTTGTCTTAAATAGATGTATAGCATATCACCGCACGACCCGGCTTGACACGTCAGCTATTCATAAAGCAGTTTAGGTCTACCTAGTCACCAGTGCTCAACCTTGATGGATGTGGGAACCAGGGCAGATGACTGATCATGTTTTCTGCTGTGGCAGCTGCCTTCTTATCATTCATCAGACAGTTTCAGACTGAGGAGTGGATCTGTTTTTCTATGGCTGGAGCTGAGCACTGTTTTTGCTGAAGGGTGTTTTGCATGAAGCTTCATCGCTTTGGCTTGTGTAACATTACTCCACATAACAACTGATGTAACATGCAGAGTACAGTCAGGCAACTCAGAGTCCATTGATGACTTTGTACTTTATTTACACTGGTGTTGAGTCAGACTGAGCTAACAAAACAAATGGAAGGAATGTTGTTCCACAGTCATTCCGTGTTTAATAGCATTCTTTTCTGTTGTGTATCATAGCTAGCCCTGGTCAGTCCCAATGGGGAACAGTATGACTTATTACTACGGCAACTGCGTGAGAGGATGGACGAGGGCTGCGGGGAGACCATCTATGTCTTGGGGGTGGGTTCAGGTGAGAAACTGAGATGAGAGCAGTGAGACTCAATTTAGTTTATTTTATTTTTTTGTAAGTACCCACCAGCTTGTCTCTCTCACTCTTTCAGATGGAGGAGACTATGGTTTGAATGAGAGTGATATGCAGGCGTCTGTGGCCACAGTAAGGTCCATGTGTGAGCAGATCGAGGCAGACCTCATCCTGTTGAGAGAGCGTACTGAAGCTGGCGGCCAGGTCAGAGATTACCTTATTCGCCGTCGGGTGGGAGAAGCTGACTTCCTGGAGGTTAGGTGAGTGATGAGAAAATGGGCTTTTTCTGCAATTAAAGTCACAGTTCAGTTTAACCAAAAATAAACACTTGGTCTTTTTTTGTGGAACATAAAATTAGATGTTTAGGAGAATATCCAGGCTGCTATTTTCCATAAAATGAATGTTGACAATGCAAAAGAGCAAGAAAAGTGAATCCAAAAGAGCAAGAATGTACACAACCTTTCAAAAGTTAATGAAAACTTGTATTTAGGAAGGAGACATTAAATTGGTAGAACTTGACAATAAAAACATTTATAATGTTACTAAAGATTTCCATTTCAAATAAACATAGTTCATTTGACTTTCTATTCATCAAGGAATTGTATTTATTTATTTTAAAATATATATATATAATAATAATTATCACGGTTTTCACAATATTAAGCAGCACAACTGTTTTCAGCATTGATAATAATGAGAAATGTTTCTTGAGCAGCAAATCAGCATTAAAATGAATTCTGAAGGATCATGTGACACTGAAGACTGGAGTAATGACTGCTTTGCCATGACAGGAATAAATTACATTTTGAGATATATTCAAATAGGAAACATTTATTTGAAATTGTAAATAATATTTCACAATTTTACAGTTCAAATAAACAGATCAAATAAACACCGCATTGGTAAGCATAAGAGACATCTTTCAAAAACAAGTTAAAAACTTACCAACCCCAAACTTTTGAACATTAGTGTAGCATATCAAAAGATTAATATGAATCATGCTCTATTGTATTAAAGGGGCATCTTTAATATGTTTTCCTAGTTCCAAGAAGCTTTTTACCTTATTGATTGTAGGCTGGAATACACTACATGACTTTTAAAATCTGAACAGATTTTACAAAAACTAGGCATAATAAACTTACCGACTTTGTAAATAGTGACAAAGGAAAACCGTCCATCATACACTACACAACTGGGGATTACACACTACTAGAAGTTGTTCCGATCACAACAAACTCACGCAGAAACGTGCACCTTGTTGCTAGGAGATGCGTGACAAATGAAACCAACACGTGTTCTAAAATCGGCTGAAAATATCAAACATGTTTGATTTCCTCCGACTGGATGGAATCATAATCTGAAGCTAAAAAATCGGAGTCTGTGACCATCAAACACTACACGATTTTCTATGGAAGCTGTCAACTCAAATGTGCAGACTGGCTCTGACTTTCGGGAACTAGCGTCAACTTCTCCAGACAGTAAATCGGCGGAAATTCTGGGCAAAAATCGTGTAGTGTATTCCAGGCTTAACTCAAAGTCATGATGGTGTTTTCCTCAGGGTGGCTGTAGTGGGGAATGTGGACGCCGGTAAGAGCACTCTGCTGGGTGTGCTGACTCATGGAGAGTTGGATAATGGACGTGGCTTTGCACGACAGAAGCTCTTCAGGCACAAGCATGAAATGGAGAGTGGCCGCACCAGCAGCGTGGGCAACGACATCCTGGGATTTGATCAAGAAGGCCAGGTAGTCAACAAACCTGACAGTCACGGAGGCAGCCTGGATTGGACCAAGATCTGTGAGAAGTCTTCTAAAGTCATTACCTTTATTGACCTTGCTGGCCATGAGAAGTACCTCAAGACAACTGTGTTTGGAATGACCGGCCATCTGCCTGATTTCTGCATGCTGATGGTAAGGAGGGGCAAAAAGCTCAGTTTCAAAACCCAGTGAGCTACCTTGATTTCTTCATAGGCAGCTTTGTTTCCTTCAATGGCAGCATCCTAACCAAATGAAACTTCATAAACGTTCTTCATGGGCAGCAAAACAGTCACTCACTTGCATTGCATAAATGGTATGAGTGAGACACATGAGAAATGACTAGACTCACTGTTGCCCACAATTGATTTTTAGTAGTCTGACATTAGCATGTTATAACAAGCAATACTGGTCAAAATAGTGCATTTTAATTTATTTCACTTTAAAATCAAAAGTAAATCTCCCTCAGCTGTGTTGGCCATCCTAAATTTGAGCTAAAATGTGGCATAATTTTGTAAGGAATGGTTTGGACCAAACTTCATGTTGGGAGTACATTTAAGTGCGGCCAAAGTGGGCAGCTTACTAGGGTTTGCAACAGAATGGGTTAACGATCGTTGACATCTTTAAATTGACTCCATCTCTCTCTTGCACAGATTGGAAGTAATGCAGGAATTGTTGGCATGACCAAAGAGCACCTGGGTTTGGCATTAGCTCTCAATGTTCCCGTCTTTGTGGTGGTTACTAAGATTGACATGTGTCCAGCTAATATTCTTCAAGGTGACCCATGAGTCCACAAATAATGCCATTTGCATAATAGAAACTAAATGATGGAATATTGCACGTACTGCCATACTAATGAACACTGTCTTTTCAGAGACCTTGAAGCTCCTGCAGAAGATATTAAAGTCTCCAGGCTGCAGAAAGATCCCTGTCCTAGTCCAGAACAAAGATGATGTCATCGTCACGGCATCCAATTTCAGTTCTGAGAGGTGATGCCCCACAATACACATTTTTGCTTATTGCTGAGTCTGACTTATCGCTCCAATTATTCTCCAGACTCACATATATTTGTTTGTTTTGTAGAATATGTCCCATCTTCCAGATCTCTAACGTCACAGGGGAGAACATGGACCTGCTGAAGATGTTCCTGAACCTGCTCTCCTCCAGAAGCTCATTTAAAGACCACGAGCCTGCTGAGTTCCAGATAGATGACACCTATTCAGTACCTGTAAGCACGCTGTCTGTCTCTGTTTATATATTTATATGTCTCCCCTCTCTCATCAGTCCAATTATTTTTGGCCAGGGTGTAGGAACAGTAGTGTCTGGGACCACGTTACGAGGGCTGATTCGACTCAGTGACACTTTGCTTCTTGGACCAGACCCTTTGGGTGCTTTCCTACCCATCACTGTCAAATCCATTCATCGCAAGAGGATGCCTGTGAAAGAGGTCCGGGGTGGACAGACGGCCTCTTTTGCTCTGAAAAAGGTATGTGGTGTGGGTTCCAAACTAAATGGAATTAAATATTGAGGAGCCAAATTATTTTAGTTGACAAATTACAGAATTGCTCAAAGATGGTTTTTCAGAAGTTCCCAGTTGACGTTGTCTCTTTAGTGATCCTGAGTATATTTGTGACATATTTTAAATAATTACAGTCTTGCTCACGAGAAGTCCGGTCTGACGCACGCGGGTTCTGGCGTTATTTCCTTATCATTTCTCTCGTGTGTTTTGTTGTGAAACGTAGTTTGCGGACCAGACAGAGCTGTCGGCGATTCTTCCTATTGTGAAGTCATGCAGTGTGAAACCCCCTGTCGCCGATCCATGGTGCAATGTGAACACAGCAGCAACTGAATGCTACCCCAGATAGTCACGCAGTGTGAAAACAACGGCGATCCGACGAGTTTGAAAATTATGCAGTGTGAACTCGGCATAAGAGAATCAGTTGCAAGCGATTTACTCTGAATCAGATTCGCTCAGTGAATCCTTAAGTGAATCTTTTTGAAATTGGTTCTGAGTCATTTGTTCATAAATTGGATCTCATATATCTTGCTGTTCATTACAGTATTCCTTCTCATTTCGCTCTCCTTCAGATCAAGCGCTCCTCAATAAGGAAGGGCATGGTTATGGTGTCACCACGATTAAACCCGCAGGCATACTGGGAGTTTGAGGCTGAGATACTAGTTTTACATCACCCGACCACCATCTCGCCTAGATATCAAGCAATGGGTGAGATAACATGCACCTGCACGCTCTTAAATGCAAATATGAGATGTATCTCTTATCATTTCTCTCACTTGTCTCTTCCTTCCCACAGTGCACTGCGGTAGCATCAGGCAAACGGCCACTATCCTCTCTATGACCAGTGACTGCTTACGCACAGGAGACAAAGCTACCGTACACTTCCGCTTCATTAAAACCCCAGAGTACCTGCACATAGACCAGAGGCTCGTGTTCAGAGAGGGAAGAACTAAAGCTGTGGGCACCATCACGAAGGTCAGCTTCATGAGGCATACGACTTTGAGGGTGTAGATCACAACCCAATGCATGGGAGTGTTTCAGTAGTTTTCGGCTAGCAGATGAGGATTATGAAATAGAAGCTGGCATAATAATTATTCCTAACTATTTTACTTTATTTTATTATTTATAAGGATATTGTTATGAGTTTTACTTTTTCAGAATGTTTTATGGTGTTGCATTTTGTGTTGTTGTTTTAGATTAGTTTGCTTTATTTTTCTTGTGCTCTGCATTTAGTTTATTGTTGTAAATATAAATATTCTTGTCTATATTTTATTTATACATTTATTTATTGCATAATGTATTAGCTATTTATTTTTAATGATTTTGTAAAGTGACCTTGGGTTTTGGAAAGGCACTAAATAAAATAAAATAAAATAAAATAAAATAAAATAAAATAAAATAAAATAATTCCAAACTGTTTAAACTAAGTTGATCACTTTTGTTCTTTTGGCTTGTAGTTGCTCTTGTCAACAAATAATCAGCCGTCAAACTCTAAACCTCCCCAAATCAAGATGCAGTCAACAAAGAAAGCCCCGGCTAGAAGAGAGGATGGAGTGGCCCCGTCCAGTGAGGAGAGTGCTAGCACAGGATCGCCAGCCGCTCAGCAAAGTGTACCACAGCAGGTAATAACAACAGATGAGGGGAAGAATACTAAATGTAAGGTGTGTTCTGCTCAGATTTATAAGGCAATTTGTCTTCCTGCTGTGTTTTGTCTGATCTGTCCAGTCTAATAGCTTTCTATCACTTTTTCCCTGCACTCCACCTGCTTTCATTTTCCTTTTGATTCACATGAAATATTTACTTTTCTTCACCTACATCATGCTCTTCTCTTGCTTTTCTTCACCTGTGCTTTAATTTCATCCCTCCTTATTTCCCATAAAACTCTCTGTTATGCTTTCGCTGTTTCACTCTTACTGCTTCAGACAGAAATGGAGGAAGACCCTCAAAACAAAGAGAACAAGGTAAAACAAGGGACCGCAAGTGACTCACTCATTCCCAAGACTGCTAATTACCCCCTCACAGGAACTGTGCTGTTTATAGAGTCTCAACATCCTGAAAGGACAGTGCACGATGCATCTTTTACCCAAATTAAACTGTGGCATGGGAATGAGTGAGGCTTGTGACCGAGAGGGTGTCGTGTTTAATTCTTGCTAGTTTGGGAGTTGTCTCAGTACACACGATAATGAACACTGTAGTGTTCTTGTTACTGTGCATTTAGGCACAGATTGCTAGTATTTTGGGTGATGGTTTGAATTCTCTTGGGCAATGTTACAATGATCTGTTTGGCTGACAATGACAGATGGATGAATATTTGGAAAACTATTTTGTTAGCTGAATTTGAATTTTGTTGAAATTTGAATTTTAGACATGAATCAAAATAGTGTTTTATTTATTTATTTTTTTTGGCTTTTTATATTTTTGAATTTTTCTGATTTTTTTTTTTTTTTTTTTTCATATTGTGCAATTCCGGCTATCTGTATGATTTTGAATGAATACCAACTCAACAGTTGAAACATTTCAATTAATAACCATCTAGAATTCAAATGAACAAAATTCAAATCTTTCTGTATTTTTTTTCTAGTTGCATAGAATCAAATTGATTAATTCTGATGAACTACTACTGCTACTAAGTTTTTAATATTTAATTTTGGTTAATGGCTTTAGTTTTAGGTTTCATTAACTATATTAAGCCTGTAAACTACATGCACTTACTGTGTAATTATTCCGTAGAGCTGCTTATTATTACTATTATATATTTTATTCTGCTGCAGTATAAAGTGGTAAATGTTGCCATAGCAGGATCAAGTGTAAAGTTTTCGAAGTCAACAATCATCTTCTAACTTCCTTTATCCTTTCTTCTTGAAGCCAAAGTCTGGAGGCAGAAGACGAGGAGGTCAGCGGCACAAAGGCAAACCTCAGAGTAACTCCACAGTGACCCTCGCTGGTGCGGTCGGGGGCTGCTAAACTCCTCCTTTCAAGAGTCCAGTTCACCATCCATGTTTTACTCGCGCCTTTTACCTGCCCACATGGACCAGACCACTTTGATGACGAGGCTTAAGAGTTCACAGAACCAACATGCACATTGTTTTGTGAATTCTAATTTATTATAAGACATGTGTGTGTTTGTAGACTGTACATACCGTAGATACTGAGACTATAGGACACATACTGCATGGTGGTTCTGTTTTGGCTGTAAATGTCAACTTCAGGATAAACTTGACTGAACATGACATCATGTACTTGCTCTATGGCTGTCATTCTTATCACATTTTTAGGATAATCCCATTGGAAATTATGTAAAGCTCTGGCTGACCTCTTCATTATGTAGCTAACTGTTTTTAAGGGACTATTAACAAGACTTGTCACACAATTGCATTTAATTTGAATTAGCATTGTTATTGTGGACCATGACGATAAGAACTGGATGGATTCCCGATGCTTTCGGTAGGTGTTATGACCTGAATTCAGTGGGGGCTGAAGACATTGTGACTGCAGAGTTTGCTGGCAGCTAGTTTAGTGTGAAATGTGAGTTGGCAATTAAACACGCTTTAAAATCTAATCACACACATTGCTAATTACCTCGTATAACAGTCTATTTACACTTCCCCAAATCCATGGTCAAGCTTAGCAAATCACGAGCGTTATCAGGCCTGACAGACTTGGCTTAGGTTCTGGAAACTTTCTCAAATGATCAAATAAGATACTTCAGACCAGTCAGTGAAACGGAGAGTAAGGGAAGAAGAACAGAATGTAGATCTTAAGGTTATAAAATGTATCTTAATAGTTCCTCATTGGGAAATGTTACAAACCAGTGCCGGTTGTTCTTCAGAAAAGATGTTCTAAACTTTTTTTTTTTTTTCCCCAAACTGTGATCGACAGGCCTCTACAACACTTGCTGTAAATTCTTTCAGATGGTTTTACTGTTTACTGAGCTTTAGCATTTAAACCCAATATGATACCTGGACCATTCTCTGCATTTTGTGAATTTTCCACAACCAATATACAAATAAACTGATGTTGACCATTTCAGCAGTGTGCGTGATTCTCTTTTTGCTGGTCAGAGTTTGGCTATCTAGTCCAGGGGTCTTCAACCTTTATCAGAACAAATGCCCCTTTGTGGGATTAAACCTGGAGCAGGGACCTCGGTTTCATTGTGACTTCAATACAAATGATTTTTTTCACAAAATGAGTTCAAACAATCCCATGTTGAAGACCTCTGGTTGAGTCAGAGACGATGCCTAGTGGCACTTGTGGGAACAAATCCACATTTCCTGTCTCTGTTGACCGTTTTATTATAGTTGTCACGCAAAAAAGACAAAAGCACACAAATTCTTACAGATATAGACTTTTAAATTTTTTTTTTATTATTTACGTACACATTATCAATGATTGTGGATATGATCTAAAGCCCTGCGAGTTTGGTCATGCTCAACCATTACAGACTAGTTTTTGGTTTAAAACAACCATGTCTACCAATTACAAGAACTATAAAATGGACCCTTTTTCTTTCATTTACTGTAACATCTAATTGTGCCACTGCAGGCTCTTTCAGGGAAGACACACAAGGCTCTTCTGCATCACTCTGACAGACATCTATAATTCAGAGTGGTCCATTATGACTACATGTAAACTGTAATGCAGCACTGGACCTTCATCTATTTCACATCTCAAAAAAAAAAGCTAAATCCAGTCCTCTGTGATGTAATTGGATGTTACGGATGTGAGGTGGTAACCACAGGACATTTATTAAGAGATCCAATTCAGCTATTGGAAACCATCATAATTGGAAATTCCTCTGAAGCTCGTTTGACATTGCTTAGAATATGAAATTTCTAGTGTTTAATCTCTTAATTGTACATACCTGATATACACAAACGTGACCATTCAGACACTGAATTAGCTTTTCAAAACAATCCTTCAGGAGCATAACAGCTGGACCGACATCTTATCCAAAGATCACTGGCAGTCAAGACTACTTAAGAGTAAATGGACAAAAGGGTGCAAATCCTACATTCATTCATGATCACTGTAATCGTACCCCAAATGGTGCAACATTTATGTAGCTTTGGAGGAGAGGAAGTGTTTGCAGGCATAGTCTGATTCTGTGTGAAGTCTTGGCAAAGGACTCCTCTGTACAGACAGACTCTTACAAGTCACAAAAAGTGAAACTATTCTGCCAAGACACAAACACTCACCATTTCAGCCATGTGACATGAAGCTGTACAACAAATGAACATGAATTTCACGTGTGATCCCTGTTTTTCTGCAGATGGAGAGTGATTTGGTCTATGTGTGCAGCTCACAGGAAGCGTGTGATGGTTTAGCCATCAATGTCCCAGCTGAAGAGGTGATGTTTCACCAACATGTCCTGAACTCCCTCCTTCAGAGGCCTCTGCTCCTTCTCCTGGAAAAAGAGTGGGGTAAAGTGAGCCATTCGGTAATGTGTCTTCACATCTGCACTGCACTGATTAAACAACGCTCCGTTGCCTCGAATGGCTGAACTAATTAAAACAAATGGCTATGCTCAGCATTCCTGCTGATCTGCATGACTATCTTACTCTAATTAAACATGGCACTCAAGTGCTTGAAGCTCGAGTCAAGACAAGGTCACGGGTGACAGAGCTAAAGGTCAGAGAGGAGATTCCTCAGCAAGCTAACATTAGAACTAATGGTCTCATGTTTCAGGTGAATGTGAAGTCACTGAGGAATTCTTAACACCAGGTGATGCCTCCCAATGCTACTTACAGACAACAGTAAAGCCTCCCATCAGCATCAAGTCTAAATCCAGACTAAAAAGAGGACTTTTCTGAGCATGCATAATTCATAATCACAATATCATTCCTTGCAATACCTGGCAATTCCCACACTGAAGGTGACAGCAACTTATCGCTGTCAGAACAAGACACCCAGAATACTCACCCCTAAAATCTTTTCACACAGTCTGAACTTATACATGACAAGATTTTAAATTAAACTATAAATTTCTATCCCAAAAGGACTTTTCAAATGTTAAGATGCCAATAAATAAATAAAACTGAGAGTGGCATCTTCCAATGAGTTCGCATCAACATATTAAAAGAAACAATTTTATTCAGCAAGGACACATTAAATTGATCAAAAGTAACAGTAAAGACATTTGGAAATAAATTTTCTTTTGAACTTTCTATTCATCAAAGAATCCTGAAAAAAAAAATGTATCATGGTTTCCATAAAAAATATTAAGCAGCACAACTACAACTGTTTTCAGCATTGATTATGATAATACTAAATGTCTCCTGTGCATCAAATGATCATATTATAATGATTTCTGAAGAATCACGTGACACTTAAGACTGGAGTAATGTTGCTGAAAATTCAGCTTTGCGTCACAGGAATAAATATATTTTAAAATATTTAAAAATAGAAAACAGTTCTTAAAAATTGTATTAATATTTCACAATAGTATTGTTTTACTGTATTTGATCAAATAAATGCAACCTTGTTAAGAGACTTCTTTCAACAAAAAAAAATTGAATTATTTTATTCAGATGATTAAAATGGAGCACTGGTGATTAAAGTGATTAAACAATCTAAAAAAAAAATCACTATTAAGTTTCATTGTGAATAGTTCTGGTGCAAAATTACTTTTTGCCATTTAGTTGCATAGGACTTGGTGTGAGCAGGCCTTTATCTTTCCAAGTACACTGGCATACGAGCGTCTGTCTGAACTAAACAGAGAGCAGTATTTGCTTTAGCATTCCACACAAAAGCTGCTGAACTGGTTTTTAGAGGTTTAGTTCACATTCTGTGAAGCCACTATGTAAACAGCAGTGAACAGAAGACCGGGACACACTACTACTACTACCACCACTTCCTGCTTCTGCAGCTAATTATCAAGCAGCAGGCTAGTAACTAGTTGCCATCATTACCTAGAGGTCCCAACTAAAGAGGTGATGTTGGACCAAGACATCCACCACTTCTGATTTGAGAACAGGAGACTTCTGGAATGGCAGACAAACACTCAGATGCATGTTAGCCTGTGTGTGGAAGGACATGTGAGACGTTGAGTGAATGTGAGTGGAGGAAGTGCCAATCTCTCACCTCTTTTTTGGTAGGCAGCTCACAGTCTTGGGAGAGACTGAAGGCAAACTTTGAGAGAACTCTGAAAGCAGCACATACAAACCCATGTCAGTAATCAACCAAAATAACATTTATGGCAGTCGTTTCTAGCACACAGATGGGCTTTAAACAATTTATATTACAATTAATTTAAATTACAGATCATTTGAGACTCAATTTGCTCAAAAATTAATCATGATGGCTTATGATAAATTCTAATATATGTAATATTGTATATTTCACAATTTTACGATTTTATTGTATTTTTCATCAAATAAATACAGCCTTGGTAAGAGACTTCTTTCAAAAACATTAAAAAATATAGCTGCAAGCAGCGATTACTGGGGTTCAAGCACTTTAAGACATTTAAGCACAAGGAAAAAGACATTATGTATTATTTAACAAACCTGAAACCAGCTAATTCAATGATTAAAAAGAGCATTTTTGGCAATTCCAGGTAATTTACCCTAGAAATACTATATTTATAAACATTTATGTCTGTTATAGCGCCACCTTTGGTCCGATCTCCATGAAACGTGCATGCTTGTTTAGCATCATGTGTTGCATGTGCTCACCTAGTTTCGTGACGTTTTGAGTTTTCGTTTAGGATTTATAGGCTTTTGGGTATATTTGGCCACACCCCTTTTCTAAATGACCCTGTTATAGCTGTCCAAAGGGGAAAATTCAATCTCTATACAAGTCTCTATGACTTACGGTTCGGTCTGCCCGATCAGTTTTAGGTGGAGATTGCTGATCTTTGGCCATTCTAACAATTACAATAGGGTTTCAGCAGTATGCGCTTGAACCCCTAATTCTTGAATTTATCTTCTATTCAGATGATTAAAATGGAGCACTGGTAATAAATAAACTAAAGGAATTTCGACCAATTTGTGAACTAAATTTGCTAAAAAAATGAATTACTATGGCTTATCAGAACATATAACGTTTACATTTTTTAAAATAATAATAAAATAAAAATGTAGATTAACAACAGAATTAATTTTTCAATTTTATTTCCATGACTAGTCTTGAAAATTAAATAAAAAACAAACAAATTTGAACATTTCTCATTTAAATTGTACAATTATGTTTCAGTTTCCACTTCTTTCTGAATGATTTATGAGCTCAATTTTAGCCCAGAGGCTTAGTCTTACCTGAGTTCACACTTTATCTGAACCCAGCCAGGACTACGTAGGAAAGACCAGGGATGGTACCATTTCTCCACGGCACTCATACTGGAACACAATACCTCCAGCCAGAGGTGCAGCACCTGCTCACTGACATAACACACATGCAGATAAAGAGAGTATATGCCGCACACATGCATTGTGGGAAGAGAAAACATAAAAAGATGGTATAACAGCAGGATGACTTACTTTAAGCCCACACAGATGAGCGAGCGGAACTTGACGTCCATCTGAACATGTGCAGCGTCGTGGCTCATGTTGACAGACTGCACTGCCTAAGAAGACAGACAGAGAGCGCTCAATGTATAAACGTAAAACCAGTGCTCAACCGCTCTAATCGCTGATAAAATATTTTTCAGGTTTCCTTCTTTTGTAAAACTCACCCTGTAAAGAAGCTCTTCAGGTGTGAGCACCTTCCCATCTTCATCTAACCTAAAAAGACGAAGCGGCTGTCACATCAGCAAAGCTCCATTATGAAGATTTAGAGAAGGTTGGATCTTATGTAACTACATGTCTCACCTGTAGGTCTTGCAGAGCACCAGTCTGGAGTAGACCGAGTTGAAGTCTCTCTCCACTTCTCTGCTGGCTGCCTGTGATCAACACACACACAACCACAACTCTTTCACTCACTTGAAATACAGTGGAGATCAAAATCAGAGAACAACCTACAATTTCCTAAATGTCAAGGTCACTGCTTAGTCCTATTTGAAGTTATCCTAACAGGAGTAGAAGGGCAGTTTTTTTAAGCAAATTTCATAAGTTAATTGTATTCTGAAGCACAGTATAAAAAACTTAAATGAGATATTTGAAAAATTTGAGAAAACTTACAGATACCTCCAAGTTATTGGTGTTAATCTGGCACATGGTGCTAATTTCCTTAATTATATGACAAACCCTATTTAACTGGCAGCACTCCTTAAGGTGACTGAAACCCTGCAACAGGAGGCGGTCCAGATGAAGGCCAAAGGAATGACCCTTTCAGCCACTGCAAGAGAAGTTGGTCATTCCAAATCTGTGATTTCTAGAAAATTGCAGCTTTACAATGACACTAATTCATTCAAGTCCCCCAAAAAGGCTGGTCGTCCACGTAAGACAAATGCACTAGAGGACAGGATAATGCGGAGACTCTCAGTGGGGAATCGGTTCAACACTGCAGCTGGAATTGTTCGCCAGTTCAGCGCTGAATAGGTAAGGATCTATCTTGGCACGTTTAAGAGAAGACGGACTGAAAGTGCACTCTTCAGCGATCAAGCCTCTCATCAGCAGAAATAATCAAAAGGCTAGGCTCACCTTTGCTGAGGAGCATGTTGTGTGGAGAGAGGAGAACTGGTCCAAAGTTCACTTTAGTGATGAGAACAAGTTTATTATTTATTTGGGTCTGATGGGAAACATTTTGTTTGGCGTCAAACGGGAAAAGACTGAACCCCAAGTGCATAAAGAAGTCAGTGAAAAGTGAAGGAGGAAGTGTCATGGTTTGGGGGATGTTTTATGCAGCAGGAGTTGGGCCTCTTATGCAGCTACATGGCAGTGTGAATGCAAATATTTATCAGAACTTTCTTCAGCAACATGCGGTACCTTCCCTGCAAGCATCTCCTAATCAGCCTGCAATTTTCATGCAAGACAATGTCCCTGTCACAATGCAAAACAGGTAAAGCAGTTCCTTAAAGCTAAGAACACTGAAACAATGAAATGGCCGGCCCAGAGTCCTGATCTAAATCCGACTGAAAATCTCTGGAAATTCTTGGCTATAATGTTATGGCTAAGAAACCCACTACAGTTACTTAACTATGAAGAAGAGTGGACCAAGATCACTCAAGAGCAGTGAGAGAAACTAGTGATGTCCTGTGGCCGCAGATGTGCTGAAATCCTTCAAAGCAAGGGCCTCTACACTTCCTACTAATTTCTGACAGCTGTAACCCCCCAAAATTTTTGTTGTAATCATCTTTCGTGCTACAGTGGTTACTCTTCTGTAAATCTGATCACTGTGTTTTCAACAAAATAAAGTTTTATTTTTTTAAATGCCTTGGTTATTTATTAAGTATTTATTAGTGTCGGGCGATATGGTCATTTTTCAAATCGTCATATCGCCAGCCCGTGAGATCGCCGATACACGATATTATCGTGAGTGCGTGGGTGGGTGGGGGCAAGAGAGAGACCCTCTGTACTTATCAGAGGTGTTTTAAACCACGCGGGCGCGCGAGAGAGAGCCTATGACAGCACCAATAATATAAATAATATACTTTCAAACATAGGCTATTGATAAACTAACATGTTAAATATAAAAATATTTAAAACAGCCATTTCATATATATTCGGATACAACAGTCATACATCGCTATTAGGACCGCATGTCCTGTGACAAGTTTGCCGCATCAGAGCACGGAAGTTATCAGTATAAAATGTCTGCAGTCAACGGTGAAAATCAAAAGTAGATTTATTTTAAAGACCAACAGTTCAACACTAAATATTGGACATAAACGAACACGTTAAATATAAAAGTATTTAAAACAGGTAAGTTCATATATTTGGAGTAAAGTTAAATTGAACGGATACATCAGTCATACAGCGCTCAGGACCGTGCGCCCCATGACGAGCCCAACGTGCCGCCACAGAAATAAGGATGAGATGCATTCTAGCATAACTGTGGCGTTAAACTCAGTTAGTGAGGGCTCGGTTAAAATAGTGCACATATATAGGCCGTTCAGATTACTTGTTAAAATGCAATGAAATACCTTATATCAGCAGACGATGTACGTCTGTGTTTGTGGTTGGAGACTCCTTCACCGGCTACAGGCTCTAATCCTCATTTGCG